GGGGGGGGGGGGGGGGGGGGGGGGGGCGCTCAAACAGTTCTGGAGGACTTGTCAAAGCACTCGCAGAACTCTTTCATCATTGTCAGAGTCCATGAGGGCTTTCCCTGTCTTCTGTACAGCGGCCAACCCGTCTCTCTCTCTCTCTCCGTCTTCCTCACTCTCTTATTTACTCTCTCTCTCTCTCCTGCCCTTCCTCTGTATCTTTGCCATCTTTTTTTTTTATCACTCTGAAGCTCTCTCTGTCTGGACCTCTCCATCGCTCCTTTGTGTCGCCCTTTCCTCTTTATTCCTGCCCCAATCTCTCTTTCTACTTTTTCTCCTTGTCAGACAGTTTATCCTTTCTCACCTCTCTCTCTTTCCCTCCTTTCTTTCTTTGTGCTTCTGTTTCTCTCTCTCTCTCTCTCTCTCTCTCTCTCTCCCTCTCTCTCTCTCTCTCTCTCTCCCTCTCTCTCTCTCTCTCTCACTGCCTTACCTTGCAGGACAGTGGCAGTGTGTGGGCAGTGGGGGGAGTTATTGATCTGACCTTGTGCTGCAGCTCCCACAGAGCCGTATGGCACTCGGCTTATGTAATGCAAACGTTGTGTGTGTGTGTGTGTGTGTGTGTGTGTGTGTGTGTGTGTGTGTAGTGTTCTGTGGACTGGATCTTGTTATTGCCCTGTGCTGGTTACATAGAAGAGCTGGACTGTTGATAAACCTGCTATTGTTTCGTCTCGCTGCTGTGTTTCAAACTATAGTCATACCTCACACTTGCATGAACCTAATTGTCTTGTATGTTATTTGTTTATGTGTGGCAACTCCTAAGAGGGAGCAGGGGAGGAGCCCGGGGCGTCTAAACCCCAAAATGGTCGCTCAGGTGTGTGTGTTTTTTTTTTACGACAGAAACAACCTTTAAACCCAATCCATGTGTTTTTCTCCATTTTCTTGAAATGCTGCTTGATTTTTCCTTTAAAATATCAATGGATATGTTATAAGTACAAGCTCAGTTACGACCTTGTTTTCGGATGAGAGTAATGTACAGTACGTGTATCTGTACAGTCCATTCATCCACAGGCTTGAATGAACAGCCAGACTGTTGGCAGAAACTGGAGTTCCCCACAGTTTCCACTTCCTACTTTCCCATCTGTTTATGTGGCGTGCTTCTGTCCTTTGACTGCGCCGTGCTATTACTCAACACTGCCATAGCTGTAGTGCTGGCTGACTCAGTGGAAACAGTGTAAGGTTTGTAAAAAAAAAAAAGCCACATTATCTTGTGGCTCTGTAGATGTATGTGCCTCTGTGTTTGAGCACGTGCAGAAATGAGTTGCCATGTGAATGTGACTTATAAGTATGGGGCTTTCAGATGTCCATCGTTTCACGAGCCTCCATCTGTCTCTCTCTACTAGCAGCAGACTGTGAGGAAAAACCCCAAGGCCCACCGGTAAATGGGAGGAAAGGCAAGTAGCCAGAGTAGTGTGATGGCGTGAGTTTGCTGTGTGGACTTTCTCGGTTCAACACGAGTTCTTCATGTGTGACATTCGCTCGCATCTGTGATTCTAATTACTGCTCTACTCTTGGTGACTCTTCTTTCTTATTAGCCGTACGAAGTTCCCTTTGTCCACATGCCATCTGTTATGTAGACTGAGTGTGGTTGGTTCGTATGGAGTTGATCAAATGTAAGAGTTGTGCGTAGCTGCATCTGATGTTAACATGTACAGAGAGCTGTCGTTGTGATCTCTGCTCGTCTCTGTCCCTGTCTGGCTCCAAGACGGCCCAAATCTGCTGTCTACTGTAATAGAAATCCACCTCACAGAGAAAGAGCTCTCGACTGTATTTCCATTGTGAAATCGCCAAGCATTTCAATATGACATGGATTATTGAACACATAAACACACACTCAGTACACTCAGTGCAGTGCATCCTTAAGACTGTAAGTTTCAGTCATACATAACTCTTTGCAATTTTTAGCCACAAATTAAGATAGATTATTGCATCTCAACACATTAAGCGTAGTGTTTGGGGAATTCTGTGCATTTCACTTTGCCGTAGAAGTACTGCAGAGTCTAATCTCCTACTTTTAGACCACCCTGGACTGTTACCCTTGTTGGCCAGCAGATGGAGCAAAGTTCATTATGTTTGATGAGGAGCTGTCCATGAATTCAGTGCTGAAGTGGCAAAGAGGTCTTTCTCTTTCTTACCAATCATTACACTGGCCTCTGTTATCACTGTTAAATATTTGTGTAACCTTGTATTAATAGGTAGTGAGATAAAAATGATTCTTTTTTTTTGCACATTTTGTGCAGGATACAAAAAGTTCTCTTGTTAATCCAGGGTCCCTGAGATGGCTGTAGCGTGCAAACCAGTGTGTGTGTGTGTGTGTGTGCGTGTGTGTGTGTGTGTGTGTGTGTGTGTGTAAATCTGTACTGTATGCGTGTAGAAGTGACATGGGAGGACCAGCAGCGAGGGCTGAATGGCTCTCTGTCTGACGGAGGGACACAGCCACACTCCTCCCTCACTGACGCAGGTTGGTTGGTCTGGGTGTAGATTTCTGACACTTTAAACTCCACTTTCACTTTGATAGAATATTCAAATTTTCGGCACAATCAACCGTATGAGTCCATGAACAGTAAAACACTCGCTGAATCAGTCCCAACAGCGCGGTCGATGTAAACGCCAAAGGTAATGCTGCCACCTGACGGTGCATTTCAGCGCATCACGGCGATGAGGTGGAGCCTCGTCATGACGGAATGAAAACACTTCTTTCAGAACGAGGCGGCCTTGTGGTGAGTTTGTGCCGTAACTGCGAGGACTCGATCAGCCAGCAACGTATCCATCATCTGACGTTTGGGCCTGAGCGAAGCACCAAATCTGCTTACTCGTGTAATTCTCTGTCAACTGAGCGTGTCACTTTAATAATAAGGAATAATTGTAAGACCAGGGGTCGCATTAACAAACGATATAGACATTTTAAACCAACCAAACTGTATTAAATCTAACAAAGGTAACTCATGCTGCCCCACATACCTGTTATAATTGCTGGAAATAAAGTTTTGAGAAGTGCCTGATTCAGCGTGGAGAACCCTGTTTTATAAAGTTTTTAGGAGCTTCTAGCTTAAACAATCAAGAGTTAATGATCATAGGAGTTGAGAGTTTAAGTAGAATATTAGGGCTGTCGAGCTGCCTTAAAGGGAATTTCCACAGAGTGAAATTCTTCTGCAGAGCAAGAAAAGGATAATCGGTTGTTTGTTATTCACGGACTCATGTAAAGGTTTGCACCTTTGAAATCAGAGCAACATTCTGCCAAAGTGATCCGTCATTGAAGACTTTCTCCACGCTGTCCTTGTGTGGATTCTTTATCAGCTGGAACACTGCCTCACCAAAGTCAGACCTGGACATTGTACAGTAGGAGCTGGATGAAAAAGAAATACTCTATATATAATCTCTCTATTTATTTTGAATGGGCCAGCAGAAGGATTTAAAGAGACGATTAACCTGAGTTTACCCAGGTCAGCCTCTGGATGGCGTCCTTCCGTCTTCCTCTCTCTCCTCTCTTGGTGTGGTTTTGCAGTGCAGCATGGAGCTGATGTTTCTCTACACACTCTTCATCATCACTAAGCGTTGAACTGTAAAGCACAGCACATGCCATTACCCTAAACAAAGCAACAACCTAATGTCGTGCTTAATTTAATGAAGTGAAGTTTGATGAGACGCTGTCATCCACGGATGCATTGCAGGAGAACACGAGACGTGTTGCTGAGGTAATGACTCCGCCGCTGTGTTTGCTGTATTAGCTTAATGTGCTGCCATGGAAACACGTCTCCACCTCCCTCCGAATTTTAGCCTCCTTTATATTTACCTGTTATGTCACTCGCGGACACGCAGTGCCCACATGATCACGGCTTCAGATGTAACTGATGTTGTTGAAACAAAGCCAGAGGAAAAGTGTTATGCGTCTGCACCATCTGATTCTGTGAGCATTTCT